TTGTCTTTACACTTTCAAATATACAAAGCACAGAATGATCTGTCTGCAGTTAACAAATCCCTTTGGGGAGCAGTGGGCTGCCATTGTGCAGTTCCCGGTGTGGGGTTAAGGGTCTTGCCATGGACCCAGAGTGTCAGTCAGTAGGAGTGGGGCTCCTACTGTCTGACCTCCGCCTGAGGTTTGCTCATAGAGATACCGCTATTTGAACTGCATTATGGTTGTGAACCATAAAACAAGTTTTACCATGTTTATTTTGACGTAAATTTTGGAAACCTTTCCTTCTTTCTTGTTCATTGTGTTATTTATATATTATAAACACACAGAAAAAAAGAGTATCTAATGATGAGGTTAGAGATTAAATGGAGGTGGGACTTTTTTAAATTACCCTGTAACTTTAGTCTGCAGGTTTGTGAATAATGTATTTTCAGAATGTCTGATTGGTTGAGGTGTCTCTCTTATCTTTGATTTCCTCCATTTAAACTTTTCCACAGTTTATATTTGCCTTCAACCTTGAATATCATTGTTTCAGACTTGAAAGACTCAAAGTTGTTGTTGCATCAAGAGGAAAGTCCCAAATATCACGCACACTTTGATTCTACGCAGCAGCAGTATAGATCACTTTCAGATATTGTCCTGAAATTTGCTGTCTTCACTGCAAAAAATGTAAATCTAAATGAGTCATTTTTTCTTAAAATAAGTGCATTTTATCCTGAATTGAGGAGATAAATAAGACACTTTGCCAATGGAACAAGACAATTTACATTTAAAATAAGAAAAATCAATTGCATTGTCTTATTTCAAGTGCATGTTATCTAATTAACTTATTTTAAGTGTAAAAATACTAATTCCATTGGCAAACTATCTTATTTACCTGCTCAAATTAAGGGTAAATACACTTGATTTAAGAAATGTTTACTTAATTTCAGATTGTTTTTGCAGTGTTAATATTGAAAATTATCTGTTGTACAGTATAATAATAGTAATAAATTACGTTTTTTGATCTAACATCGGAGAAATATGCCTCTGCATTTAATGCATCCCCTTGGGGAGCAGCGGGCTGCCATTGTGGGGCGCACAGGGAGCAGTGTGGGGTTAAGGGTCTTGCTCAGAGATCCAGAGTGGGAGTCTGTGGGAGTGGGGCTCAAACAACTCAGAACCTCAGGATTCCAACCTCTATGCCCTAATTACTTGGCCACCACTCCCCACTAATGGGAGTGGATGTGTTACAGAGATGCTGACTTTTGCCTTGTATGCTCTGAATCTCTTCCTTAAAAGTGTTGAAGCACCACAATGTTAAAAATCAGTCACAAAGTTAATAATAAACGGTTAAATGTTTAATGTCAAAACTTCCATTTTATGTTAAACTTGTTCAGAATTTTGTAAAAGGAAGGAGTTGTATTTAAATGTGTTTTAAATGTACCCTTTAAGCTTCTGATTACATCAGTTATGTTCATTAGAATAAACTCATGATTTGCTGAAGCCTGCTTTCTGAATTCTATCTTTTTAAAAAGAAGAAAATCAGCAGTAGACCTTGAGCTCACAGGCGCCCTCATAAGAGCAACAGCGGTACTGCCTGCCTTAAATGGCGTTTATGAAATGCATTTCTCTGTAAATTAATGCTGATTAGTCAATCTTTATTTACACATTTTTTATATACAAATAGTGGAAAAGAATTTAATTTATATGATAACTGAATCAATAAAAGCAAGATGACAAAGAACAGCAAAGATTGAAGTTTACAAACAAAAAGGATATTGATCAAAACAAGGTTATAGATGTAAAAATACAACACAATTTTTTTTTTTTTTTATCTGTGAAGATTTTTCAGACATCCAGAACATGTTCAAGCTTGGAAAGTCCAGTTTGGGTAGATGTATGTGAAGTTTTCTAGAAAATATTTCTCCTCTCATCCAAGATGTTTCTTCACTTCTAACTAGTGTGGAGCACTGAGATTAATATAAAGTAGGTGGAACAAAGAATTAGGGGGAACAAAAGGTGGCTCTGATCCCTCCTACTGGATTGGCAATGGGGGTCACCTGGCGGGGGGTGTTGAGATTAGGGGATTCTGATGGGTCGTCAAGTCCCTTGTCAGAATGGTTTGGGTCTCATGTCTCATTGAAGAATGAGTCAAAGAGGAAATGCTTTCAATTACTTACAAAGCACTTTTAGGAACTGTTGGATCATCATTTTGATTACCCGGTCCGAATCCGAGGAGTTATGTTTCTCAGATAGTATGCACAAAGAAGGAAAGATGTTTAATCATTAACCGAATTTATTCCACTTATGTTGACTGTAACAAATTCCTTCATGTTAGCACAAATTGCAGAAGAAGATCTCACCTTCTACCTTAGGCCCTTTTTACATGTTGACCATTCAGCTGATAATCCAGTTCAAACGGCCCAGAGACACTGCATACTTTCCAGTTTTATCCCAAAGTCATCCAGGAGGTGTCTCCCCCAAAGCAGCCAGTCAGCATTCAGTCCTTCTCACACAGCCTACAGTATTATGCTAGAGCCTCTCTGGTCATCATATTTCAACATAAGAAGGTCCATTTGGCTGACTTACAGAACGTTAACATTTATGGAAATGAAAAGATGTAACGGTTATTTAAAACAACATAAAATAATTTTTTTTGTTTTATTTTTTCCCCCAGCTTTTATTGCCATTACACTGTCACAAGTACAGAGCAACGAAATGAACTCTCTACATTTACCCATCCCCTTGGGGAGCAGTGAGCTGCCATGGTGTGGTGCCCGGGGAGCAGTGTGGGTCTTTGCTTTAGGACCCAGAGTGGCAGTCTGTGGGAGTTGGCATGAAGTCAGAGCCTCTGGATTGCAAGCAAAATGCTCTAAGAACTAGGCCACCACTCCCCATTTTTGATCTCACACTGCAGAAATTCACCTCTGCATTTAACCCATCCATTTGGGGAGCTGTGGGCTGCCATTGTGGGGCGCCTGGGGAGCAGTGATTAGAGTCTTGCTCAGGGACCCAGAGTACAGGCTGTGAGGATCGAATCAGGTTATATTCAACCTTCTCAGAGCAAAAGCACACTGCTCTAACCACTAGGCCAACACCTCCTCCCAATCTTCAATAGAACACTACCCAATAGACTGACCTCTCACCTGCCCTCTCCTGACTCACACTTCGAAGAGGAACGTGAACCAAACACCTCTGAAGGGGGGTTAAGGACCAATCAGAACCCCTAATGACCATTAAAGGCTGATTATACTCAGAAACCAGGTCGTCTGCACGTGTGTCACAGTGAACACAAATGTTTCCGCGCCCCTTCCACAGACACTGCTGCACATCTCCAAAATTGTAGGTGACCGTAGACAGTGCAGACAGGAGGCCACTGATTGGTCAAATCTACATCAGTTAGAACTGATGAAGGTTCTTGGCTGTGAGGTAAAACGTCTATTAGAAAGTTTCACATCCAGTTGACTAAATTGAACTTTCAAGCTCAACAGAAAATCTTGAATTTTACATATATTTTGCCCTAAAGGTCAGAATAAATGCAACCATGTTAAGGTAAGGTTGAGAAAAAAAATCTCAAAGACATTAATCCTAAAACTTGTAGGAAACACATGAATAAAGCATCAACTCACTTGAGTTTTTAGGGCAGTGAGAGCACGCCCTATATGGAGGTATGGAGGCCTCAGTCCTCGATGCAGCTGAACCAACAGGCTTGAGTGTTTAACTTCATATTCCGTAAAATTTGATAACACTATAGAGAAAGTTTCTTTTATTTCAAAGCTCATTAATGGGTGCATTTGAACGATAAAGGGCTTACTAAAAATGTTTTCCTGAATGAGTTGAGAACAAAATGTGGTTAGGGAGGGATGTGAACCAAGTGAGATGGTTTAAAATGCATTTCCTCACAGTTTGACAGCTTTGTTTGCAGCACTGAAAACCAGCAGAGCTGAGCTGCTACCCACATTCTCCGCAAACAACTTCCTCTTTCAGTTCTCATGAAAGCCTGAAAACTTAAACTGGAGGCAAGAGCAATCATAGCTATTAATCTATATTAAGTTTATGCTTTTCTTGCTGCTAATGCACATGTTGAATAAGTTTGACTCAATGCTAAAACTAAAAGATAAAAAGATGACTTCAAAAAGTCTTGTTGCTAACTTTAGAACATGTACGCATTCAGTTTACTTCTTCTTTCTGGTTCCCAGAAACGCCTTGATCTCAAAGCATGTTTGAGGCTGAACACGATGTTGACCAAAAGGTTTTTTTATAGAAAATTGCTTTAACCCCTTATTTATTTTAAAGATTTATAAAGTAAATCAATGTTGTTGTTTTTTCATGTCAGAATTTTGAAAAAAAAAGAAAATGATTATTTATTTAAAACGTATAAAATGTGTGGAAGTAACGCCTCTTATACAGGAAGTAGAAATTACCTTCAAAAGGAAGAACAAGAAAGACAAGCTGAGCGGAGCAATGGGTGAACTCAGATGGATTAAAATTTGTTTCTTTCTGATACTAGAGTTTCATTCTACAGGTAAGAAACTATAGAAATAGCTTAGAAATGTATTAAGAATATTTATTTGACTGTATTTAGTAAACAAAGGCAACATTTATCATTCTACCACAAATCAACAGTTTTCTGTCTTTAAACCATGAAAATGATAAAGAAACATGTTAACAATATTGTTTTTATACTTGAATTCTAAAATGTTCAAACTTTGATCATCTAATTTTTTTTTCTCGACTGTGTCTTCCTGTTTGTCGACAGTGTTTGCAGATCGAGCAGCATTTTTGATAAGATCTGGAGATACCGTGTTTTTTTCTTGCCAATGTTTGATTATTGGTCAGACAAACTGTAATGGCACCAGATGGATCTACAGTTTAGATACATTGTCAGTAGAGCTGGTTAAACTGGGACAAATTGACCCAAATCAGCAAAGTAAATCAAACAAACTGAGTTTAGAAAGCTGTTCTCTGGTAATAAGGGATGTCGGAGTGGAGGATGCTGGTTATTATGAATGCCAACAATACAAATCTGGAATGAAACCAGATCATCACATCCTGGTTCATCAGTCTGGAGTTTATGTGTCTGTTGTTAACAGTGAGTATTAATATGAAGTCATTTCTATCTTTTATACAGTTGTATTAGTTTTTTTTTCACTTTACCATGTAATAAATACTTTTTCAGGAGGATGGAAACTTATTTATAGCTACAATAAGTGACTTCTGTATGTTTTGTGTAAAATGTCTCCTACTGTTTCCTCATCAGTAACTAAACAAAAGGTTACAGATGAAGTGACATTAACTTGTTCTGTGAAGACAAATGGACGGTGTGATTACAAAGTGAAGTGGCTGCATAACTGTCCTGCTGGAGCTAAAGATGTGAGACACTGTGAGTCAAAACAGCCTGACTGCTCTGCTGCAGTTTGTTTTATTGAGCCATCCTACATGCAGGGGTGTGAGTTCAATTGTGAAGTCACACATGGTGGAACCAGTCAGCTCTTCAACTTCAACAATCTGTCCCTGAAAAACAAATCAGGTAAGAAAACTTGTTGCTTTACGTCAATTACATCATTGTGAATCTCTGATCTCACGAAATTTGTTGTTCGCATGTAACTATTGTTGCTGCAAATGGGAAAACATGAGCATTTTAACTTTTTGGTTTTGTTAGTATCTTTGTCTGAAGTTGAAACAAAAGATGGAACCTCATGCAGCCCAACCAGAGAAATAGAAGGAAGCACAGAACCAGGTCCAACCACAACAGACTCATCATCTAATGGAGGTAAAGATGCTGTGATGCCGTTTCTTGGTTGCAGGTTTTTTTCTCTCCATTAAACTTTTAACCTTGTTTTAAGTGTTTAGTGAAAAAGATTACAGCATTTGTATAGATCCCCATAAAGACTCATTTGATCATTTTTAAAAGTCTTTATCATAGAGCTTCAGATTCAGATATTTTGTCTTTGAAAAATAATATATCATCACTTAGCTTCATCAAACAATTTACCTACTTGAAGATAATTGTTCTTTCAATACAACCAAACATTATACAGAGAGCAACAGATAAAGTATCAATTGTTCTATGAACAAACTCTCCGGATAACCAGGGTCTGATACCAGAACAATTGTTTTTTTCCACATATCCACAGCTGCCCTAACCCCCAAAAAAACCCATAAAACCAAGGTGTTTCATTCAATGCAAACATGGCTTTTTCATTAACGACTAAAGAATGTGGGCCTGGGGTCTTTCAGCATGTTTGCGTGTTCTCCCTGAGCATGCGGGGGTTCACTCTGGGTACTCCGGCTTCCTCCCACAGTCCAAAAACATGACTGTTAGGTTAATTGGCTTCTCTAAATTTGTGTGTGTGTGAATGGTTGTTTATCTCTCTGTTACCCTGCGATGAACTGGCGACCTGTCCAGGGTGTATCCCGCCTCTCTGTCTTGACAGCTGGAGATAGGCGTCATCACCTGACTTGGGATTAAATGTGCCAATAAATGGATGGATGGATATTAAAATAAAAATTTTTTATATTCATTTACATGTATTTATGTTCAGTGATGGGGGTAACGGTGTTTACCTTTTTTTAGTAACGAGTAATCTAACTAATTACTTTGACTGTAACTATAATGCAGTTATTATTGCCGGCACCCCGTTACTGCGCGTTACTCAGGTCGCACAATTAACCTTTTTTCATGATAGGACTCGTGTGCGCCTTGTCATGAGGGGGGGGAGGATGAGATTGGCTGATGTATAGTGAGAGTACGTCTGTCAGGTGGGTAGGTGGGTGTTTCCGCTGGCGGGTATTAACATACAGCACACACAGAGAGATGGAGAGTGAGGATGACTCCAGCAGCAAAACAGCGTTTTCCAGATGGAAATACCGGTGTTACGTCGATACCGTTCCCCCCATGTTAAGCAGGAGGAACGCTATATGACGGGGTATATAGGCCTGTCAGATAGCGTTCCCCCCTGATCTCATTTACGTTGAGTTGCAATAAATGCAAAACTCTCTGCAGGTACTTGTTTTTGTCATCCACTCTATTCAGCTGGCTTTTTAAACACACTGCGAGTAGGTGGGGGCTGGTTGGTGGGTGTTACGGAGGCAAGAAACGCAAAAGTAACAAAATTGTTACTTTTACTAGTAACTACTAACTTTTATTGTGGAATAACTCAGTTAGAAACTCAGATACCTTTTGGGAGAAGTAACTATAACTAATGACTTTTTCAAGGTAACGTGCCCAAGACTGTTTATTTTTCTCTCTTTTCATACTGTTTGGTAAGATTTCACAAAAAAAACCTCCAAACCACAAATTTTATTGCCTTATAGTTGCATAAATTTTAGTGACGTCAATAGAGCTAAAGTAAATTGTATAAAAAAGGCCTTCAAAAGCTGGTCTGAATATATTTTCTCGTTTTGTTCCCAGGAGTTCCATACATTTCTACAGCAGTGGTTGTGGTCATCATCTTAATAGGTGCTGGAGTCGTCATTGGATGGAGAACCAAACGTGAGAAACCGAAACTTTCACTATTAAAGAAAATATTAATAGGAAAATATTTTAACTCTAAATGTTTAAACCGAGCCTGATGTTTTACAGGAAATAAACGGCGGGTGCATTATAATGCTGTGAGTGTAATCACATCTATAACCAATTAAATATATGCTCTTGAAAACAATAAAACAGTTTTCCATCTAGCTGTTTTCTTTGTTCAGGATCAGAATGTGAATCTTCCAGCGTCTCCCACTGGCGGGGAATCCAGTTATGCGACGGTAAGAACAAACACAACCCTAAATACACGCAGCTACTCATGAAACTCTGGCACATTTTGTGTTTTGTTAGCAATAACTAACACTGAGGAGTTAGATATTAAAATAGCTGCTAAATCCAGAAACAGTACAGATTGAATATCCAGTAATTCAACATTTCACAGAAATAAAAGTACATATTTCTTTTGCAGCTTAATCCTGAAGATGTCCACTATGCCACCATTGGTGAAGCTCAAGTAAGATTTTATTTAACTTTGACTTCAGCTAATATGTCGACACATAACACTTAATTTCTAGAAAAGATTCAGTCTGATACCAGCATTTCTTCCAGGTCCAGATTTATTCTAACATGAAATTGATAAAAAAAGATAGAGGCCATTGTATGGTGTAGGATGGTCTAAAAAAGAGAACATCAGTCTCTTTTTAAAGTCAGAAAATGACCACTCAAGTTTATGTTGGATGTGTGCAAAGAGGAAAGCTTAGCTCATAAAAAAAAAATAAAAAATGTCTGAGCAAAAGATCAGGCTGAGGATTGATCAGCAGATCATAGACGATGTTCAGGATAATTAATAATCTTTTAGCACATATGAATCTAAACTTTTATTATTTAGACCCCAGAGCATGAGACATGTTTGCCATAAAAGGAATACAGGACTTATTGAAAAAAAACTAGACATCTTAGAAGCATGAGGGTGGCTGTGTCATGGCCCCCTATGTTTCTTTTTCTCATTAAATGTAAAAAAAAAAAAAAAAAAAAAAATAATGAAAAAAAATTTTGCAACTGCGTTGAAATAAAGCAGATTTTTTTTTAAGTCAGACTAAAAGTGTCTCATCTAAATGAAATCTCTTTATCAGGTTGCTGGTGAAGAGGACACGGTGACCTACAGCACTGTTGGAGCTCCTTCTATGTCTGTTGCAGCATCTTCTCCTGACAACCCCCATGCTGTCATCTATTCCCAAGTCAGAAAGGTTCAAAGAAAACCTTAACAAGTGATGGTTTGTGTCAAGTTGATGGCTATGAATGAGTAAAGGAAAAATATTATCATAGTTTTAATTCAGATTGCTAAATTGAGCCTAAAGCAGGCATCCCCAAAGTCAGTCCTCGAGGGCCGCTGTTTGCAGGGTTTTTTTAATTGAAAGCTCATTAACAGGGTTTTGCTCAACTGCAATCATCATAATCAGCTGTGCTAAAGCAGGGAAACCTCTAAAACCTGCAGGACAGCGGCCCTCAAGGACTGATTTTGGGCCTGGCCTAAAGCATCTTAGATCAGAGTTCTGCACTGGGTCGGGTACCTGCAGGTATCCAACAGGTACCCGTATAAAATGTACAGCTACGGGTATAAAACAAACCCTGTGTGATTTCACGGGTATCATAAGTTACAGCATGAATAAAATTTACTATTTATATTTTATAGTGGGGAAGTGTTGGCCTAGTGGGTTAGAGAAGTGCGCTTGAGCTGTGAGAAGGTTGCAAGTAGCGGGTTTGATCCCCTCATTCTCCACTCTGGCTCCCTGAGCAAGACCCTTAACCCCACACTGCTCCCTGGGCGCCACACAATGGCAGCCCACTGCTCCCCAAGGAGATGGGTCAAATTGCAGAGAGTGAATTTCCCCATTGTGGGAGAATAAGAGAATTTTATATTTTACATTACAGTACATTTATTATTTCTTAACATCTTAATAAATAAATTGATACAAGAATATCCAGTGAGGCAAACTTTCTTACTTTGGTTAATTTAGAGCTGTTAATCTGTGAGCACAGATGTTCTTTAGCATTCTGCTGCGGCTAGGAAAAATAGAGCATGTTGTGTTTATGCATTAAAACTGCTGTGTGTATATTTTGTAATCATGGGTCGGGTCGCACTTTATTATTTAGGGGACTATGTGGTTCCAGGTTTTAAAGAGGGATTATTGCGGGTAACGGGTAGGGTTTCCGTTCTGAACTCTACAGGTGCAGCCAGATACAGTTTTGAAAAATCGGACCCGTGCAGGACTCTGACTTAGTCTTTAAACCATTTATGGCTTAGCTCCAAAATACCTTACAAGCTTGCTATCAATGGATCCACAACCAAAACCCCTCAGGTATTCTGGCTCCAATCTACTTTATCTACCCAGAACCAAACATGGAGAAGCAGCTTTTAGTTTTTATGATCCTTTAATCTGGAATAAACTTCCAGAAGACTGTGAAAGCACTCAGTCTCTCAGTTGTGTTAAATTAAGACTAAAAACATATTTATTTAGAGTGGTCTTTCACTAGGCTATCTAAGCATTATTTATTAAGCATTAAGTCCAAAATTCGTATCATTTTCTCATCAATCATTTTATCATTATTTGTTACATTATCATGAAATTTGTTTCTCTATTTTCTCTTTGTGTCAATATTGTATTGCCTTTATGCCACCTTAATGTATTTTGCTTTTCTTATGTACAGCAAGTTGAATTGTCTTTCCACAGATATGTGCTATTATAAACATTTTAAGACAGTTGAATGTAAAAGTTTGCTTTATTTTTGTCCTTAAGTGTGTAACTATACAGTAGTAGCCATTCAAAATTTCCCCACTTTCCTCGATTGGTCCTTGGCTGGTCCCCTAAAATTCTTTTTTAAAGATCAATCTTTGTACTAAAATCTTCTTTATGTCATGTTTGTAAAAATATGCAAAGGGGGAAACTCAAATGGCTGGAACTTGGAGGAGATTTCGCTGGGAGTTGGAGGGAAGTGGGATGCCATTCAGCTGGTGTTTGACTATGAAAGGCCAATTTTTAATGGCTGCTACTGTAATTTCAGAGGTTTTTAACGTGATTTATCATCCTCCTGCATCCAATTCCTCCCATACTTAGTGGCTTAAGATAGGCTGACCAGCTTTGGGCTTCTGAAAAGGAGGAACGTTTTTTTTTTTTTTTTGGGGGGGCACGGCTACTGTCACCGGGTCAGGTTCCGTCGCACTGTTCCCTACTGGCTCCCTCCCCCCTGTCCGCCAAGTCTCCCCAGATCTTACCGCTCTGTTCTGCTGCACCGTAGTCGACCAACATCCCAGATGATTTGGAATTTTCCCCAGACATTTTTTTAGGTATGAAAAGTATGACATGTCCAGGAACGAGAGGACATCTGGTCACCCTACTTAAGACCAACATCATTACTGGCAGCCATAGAGCAGCATCAGGGAATGAACTTCATTTCATGTCCCATCTTATCCCATGTCCATTAAGGCCAGTAGTCTAGTTGTAAAAAAAAACATAATACATAGCCTAATCAATATAGTCTATTAACCTAAAGCACTATGCATGCTATGGTTGTTACATGTCAGGTACGCCGGACCGCGACCAATACACCTTACAGTAGAACTGCAGTCAGTCCCTGCACTGTCATGGCTATCACTGCCCTTACATAGTTAGGGACAAATGCAGAGGACAAATTCTCAACTAGAATGCTCATTACGGCTATGCCTAAACTTTTATTAATTGTCTTCCACTTTATCCAGGACTAGGTTTTGCAAGGGTATCAGTCTCAGCAGAAACGCCTAGACTTCCCTCATCTCAGACGCCTCCCATGGGCCCCTGTCTAGTGGGGCCTGCATGGATTGAGGAGTCCAAGATGAATCCAAACAGATATCTGAGTCCTCTCAGCTGACTCCTCAGTATGGAGCAGAAGAACTTCCTTTAAGATCTATCAAGAATAGGGATCTGTAAAGAATATGCTGGAAGCGTCTGAGATTAAATATTATATTTTAAATATTTAACACTGCTCATAATTTATGGCATAATTCTCATCAAAATATAATATAAAGCCATTCACCACCATATTGGGTTTTCTCTATTTTTTTAAATAAAGTTAAAAAATAGTGCAGCTTTATTATTGGTCTTGGACCCCGAGGATCGACATTAGCTGTTGAAAGCAGCAACACTAAGGATGAACGACTAAACCAACAACTACTACTTTTAATTCTTTTAATAAAAAGATCCACATTTTAGAAAAAAGCTGCTTTGAAAAATATATATTTTCACATTGTGAGGTCTTTTCGTTCAGGCTCATTTTAGGACATTATTACAGTGACGGGAGAAAAAGTCTACAAAAGCGGAAGAAGAGCAGCGTGTGAACATTTTTATAAATGTTGAGAAAAAAATGCACTTCTTTGTTTTGTAGTCAACTGAAGAGGAAGTCGACTGGTGAGAATGTGGTGGACAGCAGCAGCAGAGCTCTGGAGGTTTTAAACCACAATGAACAGAGAAATATATGCAGTTAACACATTGATGGGTGTCATAAATGCACACAGCGGCTCAGTTCATTTGAAAGCTACAGCTATATAAAAGCACATTTCTTACATTTGTAGACAAAAACTCATTTAACTACTCAGGAGTTTTACTCTTTTTACACCCTGAATTTTACAAAATTGAGAACATCTTTAAGAACATAGAGATGTAAAAAACAGAACATGCAGACTAAAAACAATAGAAAAGAAAAAATGTCAGCAATAAAGAGATGATTTCTATAGATTTTTTAAGTTTTTCTAGAAACATCAAGACCAAAACACTTTTAGTTATGATAAAACTAGAATAATTAAAGTAAAACTCCTCTGAAACGAGGAAGCCTGTTGCGATGCCTCAGCCACAAAATGACGTCATCAACCCCAAAAAAACTGTCAGCTCATCTTAGCTTTACAGATACAAGTATTAAAAATATCTTTATAAAGCACTTTATTTCCAAAACCTCACATCATATACAAAGTTGCCACACTGATCCTGTAGCATAACAGAGTTGAACAAACATGAATACTTATAGTTTCTGCTTTGTGATACTACAGTATAAGGTGATATTTCTCCATGTTAAATTTAAATAATTCGACCACAAATACTCAGCCTTGACTCAAATATTTATACAAATTTGACATCAAGAAAAGTTTAAAACAAACTGCATACTCCTCAGGTGTTTTCATTGTTCACTCCTCTGCTCATCCCACTGGAGAGATGTTGGACAGCGCCTCTACTGGGGGACTTCAGCACCCCTGTGGTAAATGACTGTGACTACTAGAGAGCTGTGATCAGAAGGAACGGAGCTTCAGTTCTGAACCCGAGTGCTGGTTAATTATTGGACTTTTGTGTAGTTAATGGATTGTCCATAACTTAGACTTAGACAACTTTTATTGTCATTTTGTGCAGTTTTATACAGCTTTCAGACAGTGAATGAGCCACAGCTTAGCAGTAAAATTAACATTTCCATTTCATAAAGTGAAGCAGTGATCAAATGTAAACAGTGTGATAGAAAAAAACATGGTGCAAAAACACATTGATATGGAAGTTTAGAGCATTTCAAGACAAATATATATTGTGCAAATGTGTATATATTTTGGTTTGGTATTTTCAGTGTGATGCAGAGTCTGTGACTTGATTTTAAGTTTTTTTCAACAGTTCAGAAGTCTGATGGCAGTGGGGAAGAAGTTGTTGCAGAATGTGCTTGACCTGCATTGAATGCTGCAAATCCTCTTCCCAGAGGGAAGCAGGCAGAACAGTCCATGAAGGGGTGTGAGGGGTCAATGATGATGTCACGGGCTCAGGACATGAAGCGCTGGCGTGAAATGTCTTTGAATAATTATTAATATTCAACCTTTATTGATCTCACACTGGACAGATTTACCTCTGCATTTAACCCATCCTCTTGGAGGGAAGATGGTTGCCATTGTGTGGCACCCGGGGAGCAGTGTTGGGTTCCTCAGTGACCCAGAGTGGCAGTCTGTGGGAGTGGGGCTTTAACTCAGAACCTCTTGATTCCAAGCACCCTCTCCTCTTATGAGGGAAGAGGAGCCCCAATGATCTTCTCTGCTGTTCTCACCATTATACTCACCTTCTTCCAGTCTGAGGCGCTGCAGCCTCCACACCACCCAGTGAGACAGCTGGTCAGAGCACTCTCTATGGGGCTTCTATGGAAGGTGGTGAGGATGAGCTGGTGCAGGTGGGCTCTCCTTCTCCTCTGCATGAAATACAAGCACTTCTGTGCTCTTTTGACCAGTGAGGTGGTGTTTATCGTCCAGGTGAGGGTGTCTGTTATGTGCACCCTCAGGAATTTGGTGCTGCTGTTCACCTCTACAGCTGAGCTGTTGATGAGCAGGTCAGGCTGGTTCTTCCTGAGGTCAACAATGATCTCCTTCCTCTTCTCCGTGTCAGGATCAGGCTGTTATCTCTACACCAGCCCACCAGCTGTTCAACCTACTCTCTGTAGTTCTGGTTATTGTTGTCTCTGAAGAGGCTCACCTCCGTGGTGTCATCTGCAAACTTCACTATTTGATTGGTGGTGAACCTGGGCACTCAGTCATGTGTCAGCAGAGTTAACAGCAGGGGGCCCAAGAAACAGCCCCCTGCATATGGGAGCCTGTGCTTAGATTGATGACATCAGAGGTGTTCTGTCCAACACACACTGACTGAGGTCTGTTTGTGAGGAAGTCTAGCAGCCAATTGCAGAGGGGTGTATTGAAGCCCAGCTGTTCCAGTTTCCCTATCAGATGCTGGGGGATGATGGTGTTGAAAACTGAACTGAAATCCAGGAACAGCATCCGCATGTGGATGTTCTTGTCCTCCAGGTGTGCTAGGCTCAGGTGAATAGCAGAGGAGATGGCGTCCTCAGTGGAGCAGTTCC